GCCAATACCTTAATATTATCTGGAAGATGATTATAAATCTTGACACCTGCATAAGCAGGACTTTTATGAAACATTGTTAGATGGGTCGTTTGTTGGAAAAAATTGGAATTATTCCTAGTATTGAAACTATGAATTTCAGAATTTTGTCTGAACCAAGTTTTATTTGCAATCACAAACAGAGCCAAGGAGAATATGTACTGTGAGGCCAGAGGTAATATATTTAATATTTTAAAGAATTTTCTGCAGGAATCCCTAGGTCTAGCCTTCATTAGTATTCTAACCATTCACTTTTGAAGTTTAAAAATAACTGAGCTATGTGAAGAGGTTCCCCAAAACATCAATCCATATGACATAACTGAATGAAAATACGCTGATAAATCATCTTAAGGGAATTCAATGATACAAAAGGTCTAATTACTCTTGCACCATAACAAGTTTTAGTGAGTTTAACAGCCAAATTTTCAATATGAGACTTCCAAGACATATTATTATGTAATACTAACCCCCAAAACTTTAATTCAGTAGTTTTCATTTAATGCTTCATTAAACACTGGACAATTCTACTTTTATCTTCACCTCAATATTATTTAGCACAATTAAAGAAGAAAGTACACAAAAATTCTGATAATCCTACATCATTTGAGTGAAGAAAATAATAATATTAAGTGCTAAAGCTTATTCTGTGAATACTGAAGAAGATTCTGAATAAGCAGGCTTCAAAAACACAAATAAATGTCAAATCAAAACTCACAAAAAACGAATTAGAAATGATTAGCCATGTTAAAATGGTTTCAATGAAGATTCTGTACTTTATTAATCACGCAGGCCAGCGAGAATTGTGTTGAGTCATGGGGGTAGGATAAAAAATGCATCAATGGAAATGAACAGGATAACAGACATACCCCACGCTCAGATTTCATCAACTGTACTGGTACAGCCGCAAAATAATGGCCATGAGTGAGTTCATCATCACTGCATGGGGAATCTGAGGAAGGTTCTTCTTTGAAATTATTCACGTCCTCCTGTAAAAATGTGCCATGGATGCATTAATTTCATGTTATAATTTAATGAATTCTGCATTTAGCAACACCATGTTATGTTGTAGGAACTGTTACCAGGTACCACGTGTATTGTATCTTTCAGCTACTCTGGAGAATACTGTTCCATGAACACTAACAAGTTATGTATTGGGGAAGGTACTTTACATTCTTCGAACCTATTCATTCATATTCATATTCATATTTATTTGCATTCATACTGTTACAGCTGCAACACTTGAACAAGTCAACTCACTAAATACATCATTGTTAAAAGCTCTAAAATCCTAGAATGTATTAGACTAAAAATAAAACTGTACTTGCCTTACAACATCACTAAAAATTTTAAAAATATAACAATAACTACTACAATTCCCTTTTCTTTTCCTTTTTTGTTAAATAGAAAAAACCTTGCTATGCTTCCTCATGTGCCTGTTGAAGAAACTCATTCAATGTATAGAAAGGACGATCAAATAAAAATAATTTTAATTTATGTTTAAATTCGTTACATCCCTTTGACTTTTTAACTTCCAAAGGAAGTATATTATATAATTTAATGCCCACATTAATAACACTTTTCTTAAAAACTGATGCGTTACATTGTTGTACATGAAGATCATGTACCTATATACCTATGAAGAAATTTCAAGTATACTTTCAACACAAGGCCCATTCCAAAATCTGCACATTTTCACACAATAACATATAATAAAAATTACTGTACCATTGCACATTCCCCTGCTGTGTAAACTGCTGCAACACACTAGTATAAACAAAATTTTACTTGGAACTGGAGAAATATTTTAACAAATAGCAAAAATAAATTTAAGTATCAACCCCATAAAACATATTATTTTAATCTACAGGTGTATCTAACATATTTTGAAATTTTATGGAACAAAACTCAGTTTGTCATTAAAGTGCGCTAAAAAGTTTGTAATCCTTGAGTCACATAACTCTACCAGACGTGACCGCCTTGATACACTGCAGTAAGTTATACAGCACAGAACACTCCTATCATTTCACAACCTTCAGGAATAGCTCACGATCAAACGAAGCGACCTTTAATGATATATTTACTGCAAGAAAATCTCACCTGAGGTTCACTCTTCACGGCACAGAATACTGGTGGTTCCAGATGATCTTCATGTTTTATTTCCGTAACTGTAGCATCCGTAGTTGGACGTACTAAAAAACTTCCATTGTCAGCATCAGGTTCATTTTTGACATAATCCATGTTATTCCAATATTACTGTATCATATACATTTCTACCTGTTGATGCTAGCCTTGGAGTACTGTGTACTTCTGTCACTTCTGTCTATGAAAGTTCATTCCATGTCTCTTTACATGCCGAAAAATAGAAGTTGCGTTTCAACTTTTCGATAAACACAACAAATAATACGACATCCTTACGCCGCTTACGATTACCATTGACCACCAACGACACAACAATCACTACAACCGTTACAACCATGCAAGATCAACTTATATTCACCCGAACTTTTTGCTGTCATGGTCCGTCACGGCCGCTTGAATTCGGTTATTAGGCGAAGTGAGGTTATGGTTGGATCTATTAATTCTAGGAGCTATATGCCCAGAGAATGTTGATGATGTATGTAAGTATGCAACACATGTAGCACCTGAAGTCAGAAATACCCAGGCCTGCCACTGACGGTCACTGATACGTTTGCACGCATTTTGTACAGTATGTGCAGCTGCAGGTAGGGGTGTTGAATGGAAACTGTATCCTTTCACTTTCACTTTATTTTAAATTCCATTGATCCTTTCAGGTCACGCATGCCATAGGATATAGAATATGTCAAAATACATAAAAACAATGGACCCATCAACATGCACTACAGTCACAGTACAAAATTTGTACATAAAATGTTCAAATATCAAATTTATGCAGATATATGATTATCATTGTCACAATCATAAATTAATAGAAAAGACCTATTCGTAATATAGAAGTTTGATGCAATTATCTCCATCACATAACTACAAATACTTAATTTAACAGTCCAAGTAAAATACATTTCATCAGGATTTAAAAATTAAAATATATAATAAAAATTCAGTCTATACAATCAGTCATTTCATAGCAAGAACCTTAAAATTAAATATTGCTAATTAACATATTCCTCTACAGGATAAAAGGAAATGAGCTGTAAGTAAACCATTCATGACCATCTTAATTGTTTACTGTCATGTGTTATTTATCCTTAAATGCCCAGTGACTAGACCGACTAGACAGTAGAAAATCAACCAAACAATTCAAGAAAATATCTGGATTACAATCCTTTTTTATATTGAAAGTATTTGTGTATAGAGTAAAAAAAATGACAACATAAAAACCTCTGTAATGTAAATTTAAAGCTTATCTCATGATTGACCAAAATCTTTATTGATGATTGAACACTTTAATACCTGTTATATAGGCTCGATTGAACACTTTAATACCTGTTATATAGGCTCCTTTATCAAATTTTGAAGTACCCATAGGCTTCTTTATCAAATTTTGAAGTACCCATAATAGGTACATGTAAATTACCTTGGGATCTAGTTGTATATTCACGAATCTCATTAGTAAAGTTAAATAAATGTTTGTTATTATGTATAAAAGTAATGAGTATATATACTGTGAATATGTCATAATTTCCAATTTCTTGAAAATATCCCTGCAAGAATGTCTGGGTTTGGTGTTCGTTCTAAGAATTTTCTTTTGCAAGCTAAACACTTTTCTGGCATGAGAGGAGTCACCCCAGAAGATTATACCATAACTCATGATGGAGCGTATGTAAGCAAAGTAGATTGGCCTTAACTTTGGAAATGATACAATATGTTTTATATTTCGCAATGCATAGCACACAGAGGATAATCTATTGATCATTAGGTCAGTATGCTGTTTCCAAACATAATACATCAATAATGAAACCAAGGAACTTAGTTTCTGTTACACTGGAAATACTTTCCTGATCATAATTAATTTGTGTATCCAGTGCGCCACTCAGAGATCTGGATGTATCCTGGTACAACATCAGTTAACTTCCAACAACTGTCTTCACATGTATCCCAAAATTATTCGAGTTGCAAATTAAAATGCAAACTCCTTTGATGCACAACTGCTAAAACAGTCTGACCAACTTCAAGTCACTTGCTTAAGTAATAATCTTCTCTGTGACTGCCAACTACTGAACACCGGGCTTGGATTCATGATAACTGCAATGTTGATTATTGATGTTGTGAACTGGGTCTCCCAAGTGTTTCTTCCTTAGTGCAGTTTTGAAGCAATCAGAAAGGATGACTTAACCAAATTCTTTAAGCAGTATGTGGAACCAAATATTCTGGTTATCATTTACTGATCAGTCGTTGGAAATTGGCTACTGTTTTACATATTTGCACACCATTATGAGACACCGTGGCCCCAGTGCATACAGTCTGGACCTGGCAGTTGGTGATCTCCTGTCTCTCGCAACCAACCTGCCACTAAGCTACTGCTACATCATAAATGTATCCTGGTACTTGGGCAGAACGATGCGCAAGGTGCTCTTGGCTGCCAGATATGTGACTGCTGGTGTTGAGTGTACTCAGTGAGGTCATACAGTGTTGCAGTATTGCCTCCTGTCATTCCACAAACACTTTGTGTATCTGTGGCTTCTCAGAAAATAGGACAACCACCATGTTTATTCTCGTATTGTGGGGCTTGGCCCCTCCAAACTTCCTCACAGTTGCAGTAGATTCCTGGCACCTCTTTGTCTCTTATGATGAATGTATAAGAACATGTACAGTTCAGTTGTTTGTATTCTGTGTTTATCCTTATACCACTTCTGAACCTGAGAGTGACCATGCACAGGATGCCTAGGGAGAAATGGCTGACTGTCCAGGATAACAGCAGGAAGAGGGTGGCCAATATGATGGTGGTTATCACTGCCATGTTTTCAGCCCATTATGTTCCCTACTTCAGGCTCAAAGTTTCCGTCATGTGGGCTCTGCTAGAACCTGATTCACGATTTATGTTTCTCATGAGCTTCATTTAATTTTTCTTGTTCTTCTGACAATTATCTTTCAACCCAATGTAACATTATACTGCAACATCCTGTTGCACTGTATATTCTGAATTGGAATTCTCGCTTCTCACCATCCGTGTGCAACTTCATTGATGTATTAAAATTCACTTAAAAAGCATTAATCTCTTCCTGTTATTCAAACACTATATGTTTTGGTTCAACTGGCCATTATCAGGTGTCCTATCCAATGTAGGTGTGCACTTGCTACCAAGTCCTAAGGTCATCACATCCCAGTCAAGATTATACTCTCCATCACATAAAATAAGAATTTTGTGCAGGAACATGTACTGTAACACATAATGAGTACATTCAAGAAATGTACATCCATTACTGAACAGGTTGACTCAGCTTGAATCTTGGCAAAGGCTATAACTGTGCTTACTAATTTCAAGAGACACAGAAGTTGAATTTGAGTGATGTTGACATTACTTTGTTTTAGCTCAATTATTATTTCATAGATGCAAGCACTAAACATATGTGAAGTCAACCCACTGCTATTAATTGTCAAAACTTAAAGCTTGTGTGAGCAAACTGTAAATTCTATTTCCTGTAACTGAAAGCTTCATATCTGACAAATATGAACTTGCAAACATTGGCTTATTTATTAAAATCTATGTTGTTAATTCATAACTGAAACACTCTCTTATAGAGCTGGATGAATTAAATGATCTTGTTGGATTTGAGGTTCTCACAGCAGTGACACCGAGGAGGTATATTTTGTGGGATGTGCATGCTGTGTAGCCTGGTAAAAGTTCAGTAGATGTTTCAAACGAATATACTGCCTCCATCTTCAAGACTGAAGAGTAAGCCAAGCAAGCTATATGTTCAAGGAGAATCAGATGGGTGGGACATGTAGTATACGCGGGAGAAAAGAGAAATATGTATGAAGTTCGGGTAGGAAAACATGAAGAACAGAGGCAAATTGGAAACATTTGATGTAAATGAGATAGTATTAAAGTGGGTCCTAAGGAAACAGGATCGAAGGGTGTGGACTGGATTGATGTGGGTCAGGAAAGGGGCCAGTTACAAGCTCTTGTGAACATGGTAATGAACTTTGTCTGATATGGCGGGGTCACAGCAGTGATTATGGAGAATACTGTCTTCTGGGATGAGACACCATGCAGTCTGGTATAACTTCACCAACATTGCAGAGGAACATACTGCTTCATCTTCAGGTGAAAGAGTAAACCAAGCAAGTATCAAGCAAGATGCAGGCAGCAAGTGGAGCCGCCTTCTAGCAGAACACAAGGTGTCTCATCGCAGAAGATGGGTGATAAACCTTCCAGTTCCATACCAGGGAGTTTCTTGGACAGCTGAGCAACTATCAATTGCTCAAGATACTGTGGTATTAACTGCAGCAATAAGTCATGTGAAGCTCAACAAACAGCATTATCATGACACATAATGGGAGCAGACTATCTTTTCAACATATAATTCTGATATCATGTCTGAACACATCACAAACAGGCACAGTTCATAAACACGCATCCATAGAACCGACTTTGCTATTTGATGGTCATTATTTGGAAAACAAGAAACTACACAACCTTAAATTTATGATTTTGGCTTTCTGGAATACGCTGCATAAATGTTGAAGTCTTTCCATTGTTTCAGCAAGGAGGGCAGTTGCCACCTCTGGGAAGGTTTGGAAGCCCTTATACAAGTGGGTGGTGAGTGGGATGTGAAGCTGTGATCGGATAAAACAGAAGAACATGGCACCACCCAATGGGGATCAGTCCTGTAGTTAATGAAATGAGGTGATCAACGATGTTACGGCAACCAGATGGTCCCCAAAAGATCATGAAAAACATTTCAGTGATGGGATTAATAAAAAGACTGCCCCTAAAGATGGCAACTGCAATGTTTGCTGAAATGTAATATCTCTAACATGTTACACAGAATATTGCAGAAAGCTGACATCACACATGGAACTCCAGAAGTGAAAACCGAATAAGAATGACCCTAATCTGTTCACTTCATTAATGACTCATAACTTTATCTGAAACATTTTTCTACCAGCTGAAGATTTATATAATATATAAAAACATATATTTATACATTTATATGAACTGGCAGTCTCTGTAGTCTAGGTACCAAAACATGTATTTTAGGAAATCACAAAACAATTCTGTTCCTGTAAACACTGTGACAAATAGAGAACTCATGGCGCAATAAATACATATTGAGTTGATTACAATACAAATGGCTGTTATTTTGGATAGTGTCTATCACCTTGAGTTTTTTCAAAAATAAGTTCGGAGACAATGTGTGTCTGTCACCAACTGTCAGAAATGTAACATGAACCTCAAATGAAGTTCCATCAGTTTTCAGAAAACATTCGCCATACAAAACATTATGACGTAACACATAATATCATTAAGACTTACATCTATTATTTTAAACATGTCACAGTATGGACAATAGTTAACAAAATAAAAGATAAAATAGTTCATGCTTCTTTGTACTTAAATAGGCTGTTTGCTCAATCTCTGGGGACTCATAATTTGATTCCCAACAGAGGCAAGATTTCTTTCTTCTCTACAGCACCCACTCCTGGGGCCCACCCAGCGTCCTATGCAATAGGTACTGTGGGGTAAAGTAACCAGGCTGTGAAGCTTACATCTGTAGTTTAACTAAAACATTTCTGACAAGTCATGCCTTCAGTAGGCAACCTTACAGAAGAAAAATCCTGTGTTTTCAATGAGATCTCTGGGGCAGCGATTGTGGTTTCCACTGTATGCTGAAAATAGTATCTAGTAACTTTTAAATAACATAATGGTGCTTAATCCTGAGGTTAAGAATGTGTGGAGCAAACTTCCACTTTCCCATACATCTTCATTGTGTGGTGTTTAATTAATTACAGGAATAACTTCACTCTTCCTCTGTGCTAATCATTAAGTGTGTCAAAGCCAGTGAGACACAGAACCATATACTCCAAACTGGAGTACTGACACAATGAAAAGGCTCTCAAATTCTATAGGAAAGAATAATGTGTGACAGACTGGGGTACCACACTTCCCAGTTGACACACACAAGTACTGCCACTCCATACACATACACACACTAGAATGTCACTACAATTCCTAAATGACATCTTGAAACGTCAGAACGAGGGTACGGAAGATAATTGAGCAGACTGTGTTATCAGTTAATCATGTGAAGACACTCAGTAGAACAGGATGTCACCATTCATCTTTAACATCTGCAAAATAAGGTCAACATTACAATAAAATGCTGCTGAAAGTTTTGCAGCTGAGAACGATGGCTCATAATACTGTATCACACAAGATAACTTACACACAACCCAAATACTTGAGATAGCTCATCACTTTTAGGTAACTACAGTATTAAATGCATATAAGCTCAAACATGTTTGATTCTGCTCGCTGTTTCATTAAAACTACAACTAAAAATATTTGAAAATTCAAAGTATAATCAATGTTTCAGGTTGTACATGGAAAGGAGCTCTGTAGTGAATGAACACAATATTTCAATACCACCAACTCAAAAGGAAGATACGTTTGTGTGAATCGCCAGCACCTGAATGACTTTTCAGTGTTTCAGTGTGCGTCACGTATACATTTCAAAAGCAAGCCATTCTTACCACATGACGTACCTGACTGTTTGGGGACCCAGCAGAGAGCGATATATCAGTGCTGCCACCTAGCTGCTGTGATGGACACATAGATGATGAGACAAGGTCACTCACTGGAGTTGCTAGCTCCATGTCAGGTGCAATGGTGTGGTCTCTTGACATGCCTCTAAAGAGATGCAAACCAGCGTTTATGAAATATTAAGATCAGGCTGCCTACTGCCCTGTGGTATAGCAGTGAAACTACACTGCTGTATGTGAATTAAAAGTTCCATTGGTACCAACATATTTATCACAATTTTCAGGTGAGAAGTTTAAGAAAAATTCGTTTTCATATTTTTTCAGAAGAAACTCCTTAGTACAATTTCACATCATGAACCAAATTTATTTTCAAATTACCCATTTTGAAACAACAGACAACTCTCCTAGTCAAATCTGAATCCAGCTCCATGGAACAAAGTTCTTCCTGGGAAGCCAACAGTTGCCCAGCTGCTCCATAAATTTCCAGCATTTTATGGAACCAAAAGGTTCATTACCACATTCACAAGAGCCCGCCAATGACCCCAAATCAATCTAGTCCACACCTTGCTTTCCTATTTCTTCAAGATCAGTTTTAATATTATCATCCAATCTACGGCTATGTCTTCCCAGTGGTCTCTATCCTTCAGGTTTCCTCCCATGTGTGCTACATACTCTATCTCTCTCATCCTGATCTGATTACTATAATAAAAGTACTTGGTGAGGGAAACAAATTATGAAGCACCTCATTACACATCTATTAATTGTTATTTATGTACAAAACAAAGTTAAAACAAGTTGTGATGTATGGGTGTAAAACATGATCCATGACTCAGAATGACAGTTATGTTAAATATGTGGAGGAGGAAATTTTTGACGAAGGTGTACGAACCAGTAAATGAGCAAGGGTTCTGGAGAATCAGAACTAACCAAAGTGTGTGGAATTATACAAACCCCCTTATTTGGCAGTGGATTTTAAGAAAAGTTTGGAGTGGTTGTGGCATGGCTAAAAAAAGTAAGCCATATGGTAGAATAGTCGGATCATAAAAAGATTAGCGAAAAATGAATTGGATATGATGTTTGACGCACTTGTGGCCTAACATGAGGTACCATCCTGCAACTGCCTCGAGGGACTGAATAAAACCATGATTAACTCCAGTCATGATAACCTTTATGGTATCCATCCTGTTGTGTGTCATACAAAAGATATATAATGGGACAGTCTACACAAGAATAATTCATTACCAGTACTCTTAAAACACATAGCGTTACCACCAAGAGCTAATAAAAACAAATGTTGACACAGTAGTGTTTATTTTGTCTCTTTCATAATTATTGTTGTGTGGACTATCCCATTATACATCTTTCGGTCAGGATAGCCGATCTCTGGGCTGATATATTAACCTGGGACTTCCTGAATATTGAGAAGCACTGCTAGTTCCCTGGCTGTAACATTTTGGGTTATGGGAAGGGGAAACTGACCAAACAGAAAATGAACATCTGTGTAAAACTGGAGACAATGGCCCATAAAATTGTTACCACTACAACAAAAGCAGTGTATCATACCTTTCTTCTGAGATTCTTCAAAGGATGGAAATGAGAAGGCACTAAAACAAAACAAGAAAACAAATCAAATAAAAGAAAAGTAAGATCCCATCTTTAGTCTCGCTCTCCTGTTTGCGCTCCGCTATGCGAGACTGCGCGCTCCATCAACTTAACAAACTGACTTGAAATCAAATTCATTAAGAGCACAGCTCACCACTGGACCTGATCCTGAGCCAGTTCAATTCAGTTCACATCTTCTAACCTAATTCCAAAAGAGCTACTTTAATATTACTTTATTACTTTCCCAGCAGCAACTTTTTACCAAAATTCAGTACACATACTTATAGTTAGGTAAATGTTTCATGCTGTTATTTAGCATTCCACCAAAGATTTCAAATTTCAATAACTATCACTATATGGAATTAAAAGAAATGAATGACAATGTTGATTTTAAAGTTGTAAATGGCAGAAAAATGCATATGTAAAGATATAAAGCTCTAGGAGATCTGATGTTCTTACAGTGCTAAATATTAATATTATGGTCTTCAGGGATGTGACACCATGCAATCTGGTAGACAGATACCAGACTACATAGCATCACATCATAGAAGGCCATAATCTTAATGAGATCAGCAAGCGAAAACACTTTGCCACCTGCAGATATAATTTAATACAAAATGTAGACTGTAAAGAACTAGTTCAAGTCCTGTCACTGAAGTTGGTAAGGTGCATTGCCACTGGAGTCCCCTCATGACTCACCTGTACGTTGCAGGCTGCTGGGATTGGGACAAGATGGGCGTTCGCTTCAATGCATAGATCATGATTCCTGCTGCCGTCAGTGCAAATGAGAGGATGTACAGCGTGTGGAACTGTCAAAATAAAATTTTCAATTTGGCAGTCGCATGAATGCATCTTATTTGTAGGACTCTACTTGTGCAAAGGCAGTACAGAGTGGCACCCTGGTGCATATCTTACTGTCGATATGTCACATTGGCCCTTGTTTTAAAAACATATCATATCAAACATAAATAACAGGTAAATCTGTCCCTGTCCTTAATTAAGCAATACACCAGGAAGAACTAAAGGTACAGATGCACACATCTGTAACCTTGGCACTACACGGAGGTGAGTGCTGGCTGCTTCACTTCTGGGGGAACAGCCCCTGGTACCCATTATACATGATACTGGAGGTACCCCAGGACCAATATGAATGCTGTAGAGATGAGAAAAATTACTTGCCCCTGCCAGGAATTGAACCCCAATTCCTTCGCCTTCTAGTCCATAGCCTGTCACTATATCAGCTGAGAGATGATTTCTGATCTCTCTGCTTGAAGCAGCAGGAGTTTCTATTAAGTTATATGAATTTCACAAGGTGTCTTGTTCAGTTTATGCATTTCCAAGAGTAGAGCTATTGTTAAGTAACAAGGATGAGTTCATGTAATGATTCATGCCCAACTGTTTCAGCCTGGAAGTCATTCCGGGCCGTTTCCAAACTTTAATTTTTATGACTACATCCCTGCCCATGGAAGTCAGATGTCTCTTTATGCAGTGTCAAATGATCAGCTGTAATACATCTGCAATAAGTAAGAATTGGCTCCTAAAATTAAAGTACAGCTTTTAAATTTTCAGCACACTTCCCACAAAAAGTTTCATGTATATCAGTCAATTTGATTCAATATTCAGGATTGCAGACAAACACAACATTCCATCAACGTTCTATATATCAGGTGTGCTACCCTATGCTTTGTGTCGGAGATACTGTGTTGGTAAAGCGGCCTCTGTAGTCTAGGGGTAACGTTCCCACCTCATGACTCAAGGTATGCAGGTTCAAACCCGGCGGAGGTCGTGGAATTTTTAAGGGCGGAGAAGATCCTCATGTCTCTAGGAGACCTCTGAGCAAAATTAGGAAAAAATTTCCTGCCAAAGTAGTTTCCAATGCCTTCAGTAGATGGGGAAGTATCGGGTACCACTGCCGGCCTTGCTGGCTGAATGGGGCTGATACCGAGCACCAGTATTGGAAGGGTATGGCGACTGGTAGAATATTAAAGGGGGATGTACAATAGACTATTAGTCGCGGTGCATGGGGAAACCCACCCCCTCCAATAATAATAATAATAATAATAAATAATAATACTGTGTTGGTAACACTGATTTACCTTGTATTGCAGCAGGAAAATGCCAAACATGAGCCAGTAAAAGTCTGCAGTAAGTAGCGATAGTTGCAGTGCAGTGGCACCACTGTCACGCAGCATGGCCGGTGCCAATATGCAGAACAGAAACTGGGCAAGTCCAAACCCCAGTAGAAGTGCTACCACTTGCCAGTTACCCCATGGCATTAAAAAGACAGTGTCTCTCTCTAGCACGGCCCTGCGAACCAATATAAAATCTACAGCCACTCTAATAGATGTATTTGCAGACTACACATTTCTCTAATCTACTTTAAAGTATTGCTGGTGGATCAGTTAGCCGATGAATTTGCCAGTGAAATTATAATGGATTGATACCATTTTGTAATAGCCAAAAACTAACTAACTAACTCCATGGAGCCGAGTTCTTAAAAAGCCAACACTCATGCTCAGCAACTAAAGAAATTCCCAGCATTTTACAGAACCTGAAATTTCATTACCATGTTCACAAAAGCTCACCATTCGTCCCTATCCTAAGCCAGATAAATCCAATCCACACCCCCATTCTATTTTTCTATGATTAATTTTAACATTAGTCTCTCATCTACATCCAGATCATTCTAGTGGACTATTTTCATCAGGTTCTACCAAAACCCTGTATGTATGGCTCTGCTACATGCTCTGCCCATCTAATCTTCCTCATTATATCTATAACAGATCTCAACAGGTCTAAATAACTAATTAATTCCATAGCCAGAGCCCTTCCTGAAAATCTGACAGTTGCTCCTCCCCATTTGTGGAACTCGAAGGTTCCGCACCATGCTGACAAGAGCCTACCACTGGTTCCTATTCTAACCCAGATGAGTCACATCCACATACTCTCATCCTATTTCTTTAAGACACATTTTAATATTATCCTCAGATCTATGTCTCCATCACCCAAGCAATTCTTTCCATGAGGTTTTCCTATAAAACTCAATATGTCTCCTACTGGCATAGCTGAACACGATTCCATATTTGCTCTGCTTCTAATTTTGGACACAGACGTCACCAGGCCTTTCTGCCCTTAGGCACGTACGTCTGTATGATGCTGAGGATACTGCCAAGGAGTCCCATTATGCCCAGGTACTCCACCCAGTCCAGTGTCTTCACCACCAATTCCTGTGCAACTGACACCACTGCAAATAGCACTGCACCTCCCAGACACAGCATGTCCCCCAGAAGCTGGTTCTTTCCTGCAACATCATCACATTTCCATATGTATCTGGCCCCCTGCCAAATGGCACATTTCCATGAACATCTAACCAGGCAAGTTGGGTCAAGCACAATAATTTTGACTGGTACATAGGAGGTGCCCAATTGAAATCTTGACCAGAACACTGACTATACTTTTCCTCAAACTGTCCAGGAAAATTCCAGGAGAGTACCTCAAAATTAAGCCATGATCACTTCCTCCGCATCCTTTCCAGTTCATTATTATCCAGTCAACCGCTGGCACACAATCTGAGTAAAATTCATGGATATCTTAACATTCAGAACCACTCAGTCTTCATCATATTTAGCTCCATATTATCAGTAATACCTAGAATTCTACAGTCAGATCCTATCACGGTCAAGTTATGTTTCTGCAGCATGTTCACATCATAATTTTCTATTTCTGTGTTTGTCACCTATTATAAAAAGCAAAGCTGCCTCACTGCTTAATTAAGCACCACATCATGAATATGTATGGGTGAGTGGAGGTATAGCTCCATGCATTCTTGGCCTTTGTATTACATGGACATGAGCTTCACACCCCTGCCACTTTGTTGTCTGGGAGAGAGACCACAGTAGTCAGTTGATGGGAGCTTAGGTGGGCTCCAGAGCCAGTGCGGATGCTATGAAGATGAGCAAAATCTCTGGTGGTACAGGAGTTAGACCCTGATTACTCAGCTGTCCAGCCTGGATTCTAATCACTATACTGACTGAGCTATCACAGGTCACCTCTCATGTTACTGTGAAAAAATATCTGTTGGCAAAGACTTAAAACTGGTAACTGAAAATGTAGCCAAACAATGTGTGCTGGAATTATTTTCTGAATTGTGCCAAAGGAGGGGAATACAAAATCTTTTGATGTGAGAGACAGTGCAACCTTGCATGGGAAAGGTGGGTGAAGCACACATACAGCTGCTTCATGATCACAACAGGACCTGCCATTCTGTGCGGTGACAGACCTCATTTCTGCATTTCTGGTTTATTTAATCACACTGACAGTAAGTCAGACTATATAGTGTTGAAGAGTAAGATAATATCAATAATGAACTGGATAGGATGAGGAAGGTGGTTATGGCCTATACCAGAAGCACAAAAACGTCATTCTGGATAGATGGCGTCTTGGCTGAGACTCAAACCAGCTTCCTCCCAAATACAAATCTGAAGAGCTACTGCCTGAACCTGAATGGGAGAACGGGTTTCGACCCGATAGAAAAGGGGGACTGATCTGGTATACAGATGGTTCCAAGACAAATAAGGGCACTGGAGCTGGTGTGTACTGTCATGGCACGAGGCAGCAACTTAGTTTCAGCCTTGGGCAGTACACGACAGTATTCCAGGCACAAGTATATGCCATTAAAGCATGTATTATGGAGAATTTAGATAGGAACTATAGAAATAGGAACATCTACATTCTATCTGACAGCCAAGCAGCACTCAAAGCACTTGATAAACACCAGATCAATTCCAAATTGGTCTGGGATTGCCACCAAACCCTCATGGAACTGGCCAGACATAACAGGGTACAACTGATATGGGTGCCGGGGCATGAGAGTATTGCTGGAAATGAAGCAGCAGACCAATTAGCTAAAATTGGAGCTGAACAACCATTCATAGGACCTGAACCAGCCTGTGGCATCTCTCCAGGAGTTGCCAAACAGGCAATCAGGGACTGAACTAACATAAAACATAAGAAATACTGGGAATCCTTAACTGGACTCAGGCAAGCTAAGGGACTCATACAAGGACCTTCTGCTAGAAGAGCAAAGGAACTGTTGAAGCTCAACAGGAACCAGCTATGATGGATGGTAGGACTATTTACAGGACACTGTCACCTCAAAGGACACCTGTTCAAACTGGGACTAAGTGACAGTCCCACTTGTGAGAGGTGTCAGATAGAAAACGAAACAGCCACACACGTCCTATGTGAATGTGAGGCTTTAGCTTATTTAAGACTATGTCACTATGTATTTTATGGAACCAAGTGACTATTTTGACACCCCCACGTCCAAAGTCCTGTGCTTCATTCGAAGCGTGGGGTTGCTGAGGGGAATAATTAAAAAAAGGGGAAGCACAATGGACCACTGAGGTCTAAGTGCAAGGGCTGAGAAGGCCTACACCTTCATACATACATACATACAGTCAACTCTCGATTATCCAGGGGCGGATTAACCGGTTTGTGGCTTAACCGGGGCTACTGAGGCTTTTTTTTAGGCTTATATGTTGTTTAATATTCATTCACTTTTGTTTCACATGGTGAGTTGTAACACTATTTTCGCACTAGTGTGAACCCAGCTCTGCATTCTTTGGTCCCGTTATGCTAACACAATGTTCTAGGGTAGGGGTGAAAGAATGCAAGGATTTGTGGAAAGTTTCAAGGACAGATACACCGCCCCAGTTGGTCTCTTTGTATCGATCTTCAAGTGCGTTAGCAAACTGTCAGGGTGTAAAAGGAAGTGTGTTGTGTTAAGTATTCAACAGAAACTCGTGTGAGCCGGGCTTCAAAATGTTAAGCAGTGACGAAACTGTAAGTTCAGTGGGGGTGCAGCCAGAAGAGCAGGAAGAAAGTGAGAATGAGGAAGAGGTGGACAGTGCTGCTAGTAAGAAAATATCACATGGTGCTGCTCTTAATCATTTGGAATCCTTACTAGACTATCTTGAGAGTGAAGAGAACAGTTTATTAAGTGACAAGCTAATATTACGCAGGCTTCGTATGGATATCCATAAAAAGGAAAACGCCATGAAAAAGCAAACAACAATATTATATTTTTTAAGTGTTAAATGTGAATATTCGTAAAAAGTGTTGGATGTTGTTGAACACTGCGATTGAAATAACTAATTCATACTTCGCCGGTCACGGTAGCCGAGCGGTCTAAGGCATGCACTGTCGTCGGTCGCTCAAAAGCCGGGATCGTGGGTTCGAATCCCACTCAGGGCATGGATGTTTGTGTGCGTTTTTCTGTGTTTGTTTACAGGTAGAGGCCTTGCGATGAGCTGATCACTCGCCCAAGGAGTCCTACCGTATGTGTAAAATCTAGTAAACCGAAGTGAAACGAAGAGTTTCATGGAGGTAGGCCTAGGCCCAAATTGGGGCTGTAGCGCCACAGGAAAAAAAAATCATACTTCACTGTAATGTAAAAAAAGTATTAAATAGGCCACAAGATGACATAAAAATGAGGTTGAATAAATTTAAATACAGGTAGGCCTATAGTATTATGAAGGTACGGTATTACAGTACTACTTTTAATAAAATTTGTCTTAACCAGGTTTTCGATTAATCGTGATTTCCATCCCCACCATTATCCCGGATAATCGAGAGTTGAGTGTACATACTTACTGCCTGAACCAATTTACTCACTCTGACAGATCTTAAAATGCATATGAGCTGACAAAATTCAAGAAAACTATGTGCAGGAAAGAAAATGCTAATAAGGGACATACTTAGATCATACTTCCTGGTACGGTGAGTGTACTTACCACCTGTCAGTGTACGTCCATCATCAATGTCAGCCCAAACCAGGCAGCCCACACCCATCAGACAAATGCTGACCCCTACAATGTGCACAATCTTGTAGCGCACCCTGAGTAGAAGGCAACTGAGAGCGAGAGCGGCAGTGATGGACACACAATCCAACAACTGAAAGGAAGCATTTGCTGCATAGATGTAGGGGGTCACATTAACATGATTTATAATTTATTTAACAATGCTGTCTCAACTGTGTGGGTTATATAACCTTATAATTCCCAAGTCAGCTGTGGAGTGTATATTTTCACATCAGTACAGGCATGGAATGGACATAACAAGAGGCTACTGATTTCTGGTTAGAGAATGTAACCTCAGAGAACTTGGTTCAATAGTAAAGGGTAACCTGAATACTGGTGAGTGTGGTGAACTGGTGAGCAGTGATGTACAGATAGTTGGTCTCCACATCAACCAGGGCCAACAGCAGGTAGCGCCAACCTCTGTACCTCAACACACAAATGATACCTCGATCCCCCGAACGACACGACAGCCACGTTGTAAACAGCAGGCATTGCAGCACATAGTGCAGGGTGCTTTGCCCTGTCACATACAGAATGTCTGCTTTATACAATGGCATCTTACTGCTACACTTGTGGACACGGTGAATCTCGAGCCACAGAAGCAAATGTAAGCCAAGGATAACTTCAAATAGGATGCTCACCTGTTGGCAAGCCAACCTGGTACAGTGTTGACAGGTAGTGGTTGCATGCTGCCATCACACACAGTATGAGTGACATGAGTTGTCCGAGCACCAGCGCCCGCCATACAGGCCTGCCAACATATCACCACTTTATTACTACTCCTCACAATCTGACTAGAGATAAAGCTGAACAGTCAGTGACCAGGCTATGGGCTTGACAACTGAGAAATCAGGGTTAAATTCCTTGCAGGGGCGAGACATTTCCTCTTCTTCACAGCATGCACAATCGTTCTGGGGCCCATTCAGTCTCCAATTCTGTGAATATATGGGCTTCTTTCCTGGGGAGGGGGGTATATACAGAGGTCTTGGTATGAAGCTCACCACTCACCCTTATCTAGTGTACAGACTAAGAATGCATGAACCTATACCTCCACTGCTCCATATGTCTTCATGACACAGTGATATTAATTAAGCAAAGATATAACTTTGTTTCACTACACAGAGGCGAGCTGTCAGCTTTGTGGGCTGTAGAGCCATCTGTGGATGGTCACAGAAAAAACTGTACCAGGACATGAACCCATTATTCAGTCCGTAGTTCAAGGCTGGGCCTGATGTATAACTGTGACAGGACATCTAAATACTACAGGCATATTCGGCAGGTGGAAGCTGAGGCAGTATATTAAAAGCCTAGTTCAAAACAAACTGAGGTCAACTGTTTTCCTTTTCAATCCTCTTGATTGTTCTCTCGAGAAAGCAGTCACATAAGAGCTTATTGTGTGGTCTTGCCAAACCTTCTCCTTTGTATAGACTGCACGTTTCATCTGAACAATGCTTACTCCATACCTTAGCATGACATCACCTGATGCTATACGATCCGCATGAGAGCAGCCCAACTGCTGACATAAAAATGACATTTACTTCTCCTAGAAGCAGTTTTACTCAGCTTCTCAATATCATTATAAATCGTTCTTCCTTCCATCACCCTTCATGGGTAAATTTAAATTTGTGTCATTTTCTTTCTGTGGGTTATTTAATGACTGTATTTCAGCAGCTAGACTATGTAGCATCAGATGATAGGATGAGAGATAAACTGAAAGGGATATAAAAGGAAGCAGTCATGGCCTAATCAAAGGTACTATCTCAGGAGAGACTGAGGAATACCACTAAGAATCTAAGTCACAATAGTCAGAGATTTAAACCTTGCACCCCCTGAATACAAGTCTAGAGAGCTACCTCTATACCAACCTGTCTGGTGATGTCATGTATAGATTTGTATTCCTTTAAAGTATCATCACCAGACCAGTGAGGGGTTCTATCTCCACTTTTGGATAAAAATGAGATAATTCATGTTTCTCATTCTCCCTAGTGTGTTTCACAATCTCTGCACACTTCCACGGGTTTACCGTACTTGCAAGTGTGAGATTTCATCATGCATTTTGTTCTAGGTCATATTCAAGCTGCAGCTGATTCCCTAACCTCAAACCCAGTTTCCTGACAACTGGTGTTGATGGACACAGTGCACTCCAGTACTCAGGTGATATTATAAACTCTGTTCCATGACACTCCTTAAGTATATGCAGTTTGTAAGACTTACAGCTTCCAGGGCAGCAAAAATTCAAACTGCAGTCTTGCAAGTGGCAACTAACATTTTGGTAGAATCAGCTCCCGTGATGTTCAGGATGCTTATTACATGAATAACATGAAGGGTGGTTTAAGAATAAGGCATCAGGTTCCTCCAAAATGCTGGAAGCCAACTACATGACTACATGGTGTCACAACCCCTATATACTGCTTGTTTCACTGTATCCCATATCAGGATGTCAGGGCTGTCAATCACTTCTGCACACACATCAAAAACCTTGGCTTGAGGATTTTCATGACACAAAATGGCACATTTCATAACCAACCACCAGCCACTGTCTTAACACTGTGCAGCCAGAGGTTCATTTAAATAAGTTCATATTTACAGATATAGTTTCTACCACACATAAAGAACAATACCCTTCCACTATGGTTTGCCGTAAGAGTCACATGAAACACATAAATGCACTGTGTGGGGAAAAAAGTACAGATTTTTAATATTAAAGCAGGTGGTATATGTACATCCCGTTGTGTTTAAAAGGATTAATGGGTTAATACATCTAAACTTAATCACACTGAACTCACACTGCTGCTTTTGATTTCTAAATTGCTTGTCTTTCTTCCACAAGAAACAGACATTGTGTGACAGACATGACAGATGAGCCCCTCTGCCCCTTGCAGCCAGCTTGCATTCACAGTATTTCTGAATATAAATTGGAGGATAAACCTGGACACTTCTGAACATGCTAACCAACATGACGACATGTGAATACAGATCAGCAAGTCACTGACTCATTCCATTGGCCCATAACATGATATGACCTGTTGATGGTGATGTGGTTAAGAAACCCTGGGCTGTGTCTTGAGGCTGCGTCCCTAGGAATCGGCTGGTAGGAACCTGCACAGGAGGCGCTGGCTCGCGGCTGGTCATATGACAGACTGGACGTGTCTATCTCTACGCTGGAATCCGAATGGCCGTTGGTGGTGGTAGAGCACTCCACTAATGTCAGCTTCCTACTGGGCCTAGAGGCCGGAATTTCGGCCAGGCTCAATCTGCGGGACGAGCAGGGGACGGACGAAACCGGAGACGTGCGTCGAACTGTCGCAGGACCAGGGGCGGACATGCGTCGACCAAAACGCATGTCCATTAGGGACGTCAGGGAGCTAGGACGCGGGTAGGAGGCCATCAGTGGCGCAATACTGCTTCACAATTAACTCGCAACTGGCTCGAGTCTGGTCCTGTCTATTAGCCATGCAAATCCGCTGCATGTGTTTGCATGCGGAAACGCCACTTCATAAATAAGTATGAGTCATTTGGTAACATAAACACAGGAAGAACCAATCCTAACAAACACATCTCCATAACACATACCATCTGCCCAACTCCGACAAGCATCTGTCAGTTTTCTCAGATATTCCTTCATTGGAACCATTCGCCTCGCCATTTCCAGAACCGATCACCATTCTTTCTTCCGCCATAACACAAAATTTGTTTTCCCTTGTGGCGTTTCCGTACCAGATATATCATTGGATGATCAAATTACAATTAGCCAATCACAGTCACAGTTTCAAACCATAACCCTAAGTGTCTGATATACACAACATCTCTTCTCAATATTCTCTCGTTACCCATGTGAGGGAAGTTCCTAAATCATTGGTTAACCTGATGATATTAAAAACCACGTAAACCTCATAACATAGAAATTACCACCAACTGTTGACATTGCGCAACATCAATTTTCTATGTTGACAGCAACAATTTCGGTGGGTTTGAAACCGGAAGTTGACTCAGTGTGTCACGGTCAGCTGAGGAGAAGGGTAGGAAAATATACGTCTAATTTCGAGGGAACGTGAATATGCACAATGAAGAATGATTATAGTTTTCATATCTAAAAAGAAGGTGTTCAAAATGGTCGAGCCGATTTTCGACTATCAGTTTAGGTTGATACTCATAGGTGATAGTACGGTCGGAAAAAGTTCTTTATTAAAATACTTCACGGATGGGAAGTTCGCAGAGGTACGTGATGGGGAAATCGAGGTGAGTCATTTTACAGTTATGGAAAACAAAACTGACGGCATTTGAATGTGTTTAGCTTTCAGACCCAACAGTTGGGGTTGACTTCTTTGCTCGCCTGATTGAAGTAAAGGATGGAACCCGGATAAAGTTACAGCTGTGGGACACCGCAGGACAGGAAAGATTTCGGTACGTAGTGGGTCATTAATTATGGGCATATTCTTTGCATGCTTTATCATATGTCATACTCGGACCATAAATTTTCAGTTTCAAGATGTGTAAAATCAGAGCTGGGTTCTGAGAATAAAGGCTGATCCTGATGTCTGTGCCAGGTGAGGTAAATTTTGAGGTTAGGCTTAATGTCTGTACATACTGAAGATGTTTTATTTGTGTGTATGGTTCCCACAAATTCATTGAATGGAAAATAGCAGGTTTCGAAACCAAATAATGAACTACTACAATAGGAAGGAGGGTAGTTTGATACCCACAAAGAAATCAAACTACATCACGTTATTAAGCCCATCTGTGATCAGTTTAGGTTTGTGACAGTACAGGCCAATAACGATAACATTCACTGTTTTTTAAACTTCCTTTTGTGAAAGAATAGTTATGCAAATATATGAGCAATTGAATGAATGATATAAAATATTGTACTTTTGTAAGGAAAAAGCACTTAGTGGAAAGAGGGCCTTTACAGAAACTGATAGAAGTAGACCACAAGATACATCATTCTCATTGTGAACATCGAGTCAGCCCTTGGGTGGTTCTAATTATAAATTGACTGAAAGTGGTAGCTATGTTAATATAGGGATGGCTATGAAATGAATGCCCAGGGTTCAATTGCTGGCATGGGCAAAACATTTCCTCTTTTGCACATGCCCAGGCTCGCTCTGGGGTCCTGCAGTGGTGAAGCATTCATGTTAACTGTGTTAGGCGTGCTGGAAAAGTGTTACATTCATGGTTCAGTCATACTCCACATACTGGCAGGAAAAATGATCAGACACTATACAGCCCACCACCTCATCACAGGAATTGTTGGTCAGTCCCTTCAGGCTTATGTCGGCTGTTTGTGAGTCATGATGCAGTATGGGCTTGAGAGGAGGAAGTGCATGGCATTCAGAGCTATCACATTTGCCAAATTAGGAATTCTAACGCACATCAGTTGCTTGCATGCTTGTTGTATCCCAGCTGTACTGTGAAATAATTTAACACAATAAAAGGACTGTCTGCCAATCCTCCAAAGTTCTCAAACTGAAATTTTATTTCTGAGCTTTGGAAATTTTAAAAACAATTCTGGAAAGTTTCCAGTTACTGCTTGTGAACCACTGTTCAAAATCATACAAATAGTATATCTCTCCTTCTGAAAAATGAATTTTCTGTTATGTATTTGTCAGGAAGAATTTTTACAAAATAATATTTGAGACCTCAAATATTTCATTGCTTCAGGTCTGAGTAAAGCATTACCAGAAGTCACAGAATCATCTACCTTTTTAATAATCAATCACTCAAGCAGCCAGTGAATGTCAAGCGGTGACTATATGCTTTGAAATGTTCATATTTGCCCACACAGCACGCAAGACTGGAGAGAAGAGTAGGTAATTTATTATTAATAACAACTGAGAAGAATATTTTTCAAGACTTAGGAAATAGTCCAAACTTCTGTGACTCTGTGATATTTTCACTGAAAAATTGGTGTGTAGAACTCCAGTACAAGGTTTAATAAAGAAAGGTAAACTTGGAAGTTGCTAACCATTTTTCTTACTTTGCACCTGCTTCCTCTTTTATTCCTCAGTTTTATTAATTTTTAGTTCTAATCTGCATAGTTGTCTTGCATGATGTATATACCCAATTGCCAAAATTTTCACCACATCCCTTGGCCTTCAGATTTTGCTAATGTTTTTGAGAAACTCATACCCAACCACAGCAGTCATGTATATTCTGAACGCTATCAACAGATGAAAAATTCTTGGGTGTTTCTGTCATTGGAACTTTCATTTAAAAACATTTGGTTGTTTGGCTCTCTGAAGCCTGAAATCCATTCGAAGGGTATTTAAAGACTCATGCCCTGCTATACAGAAACTATATTTTCTCCATTACGAAGACCAGATGGGTAATGCTGTATAAAGAATTAATTAATGTTTATTTTGAGAATCATACAGAACACATAACTACACTGTGTGGGAAAAATTGGGAATTTTCTCATGTTAAAGTAGGGACCATGCTTTAAGGGGTACAAGTTGCGATATATATAGCAAAGGTACAAAGGAGAGTCTGTAAAGAGGTTACAAATGGAAGTAAAACAGCTCTAATGGATGTAATAGTTTTTCTATATGTGTCACTAGGTAGCAGCACGGTATAGCTTCACAACAGTCTAGATAGCAGATGTGCATGCGCATGTTCAGAGGCTGGTTTCAGAAGTCAAAATGGTGACCGTGCTTGAGGAGTCAACCACCAAAGAGCAGCATTCTATTGTGCGTTTTTTTGTGTGCAAAAGGGCTCAATGCAAGGGATATTAATAAAGAAAATTTTCCTGTTTGCGGTGGGAAGCGTTTGAGCCTTGGTGGCAAACGTTTTGCTGTTGATGAAGAGGTTAAACGGAGGTGCGGAAGTGGTTGAGACAACAGTCAAAGACATCTGTGCTGTGGATTCCAGTGCACTAGTACAACAATGGGACACATGTATCAATGTTGGTAGAGGATATATCAAGAAATAAATGTTTTTTCCAGGTTTGAATATCACAAGTTTTACATTTGATATCCGTTTGTAGCCTGTTTACTGACTCTCCCTTGTATATAACTCTTCAAATGCTGCCTGTATTATTTATTCAGATATTTGGCTCATGTCCTAATGTTTTCACAGTTTTCTTGCCCCCCCCCCCAGCAAAATGGCAAGATAGTTATTAAAACAGGCAACAGTCACATCATCCTGATGGTTTTTTTATGTTTTACAAATGTACCTGTCTTGGGTCAGAATCCATGAAAGTTCATATAGATCTGAGGGTTCTGGTGCCCCACTGCAATGTATGTACTTGCAGGTCCATAACCAAGTCATACTACCGCAACTCTGTTGGGGCACTGCTGGTGTATGACATCACAAACCGCTCAAGCTTTGAGCATATTCCGCTGTGGATGATGGAGGCTCGTCGCCACATTGAGCCACACCGGCCCGTGTTTGCACTGGTGGGTTGCAAGTTGGACCTAGTATCATCAAGCGGACGACGTGAAGTCACCAAAGAGGAGGCCCGAGAATTCGCAGAACATAATGGTTTGCACCACGTGGAGACATCAGCGAAGACAGGTGCGAATGTCGAGGAAGCTTTCAATGCAGTGACACAGGAAGTATATTCACGCATCCAGACCGGAGAGTACAAGATTGAGGATGGGTGGGATGGCATCAAGACAGGCTTCCAGCGACCTGGGGGGCTGGATTTTAACTTAGTGGAGGCAGAGCCTGCAAAATCCACATGCTGCTGAGGTATATGATGGAGTAGTTGGAACAATTACGGTGCCTCTGTTGTAGACAGTCCTCTATAAATATAGTGATGTGTGTGACAAGCAAGGCACTGCCAAACCTTGCCATATGAAGACTCCCACATGCAGTTCAACTGTTCTGTTAAAGAAACTTAAAGGAGAAGAGCAGCCAGTTGGTCTGCCAGGGAAGTCTCTTGGAATTGACTGTGGGACTATGAAGTCCACAGATTGACAAAATAAGATTCTAGCAATTTACTGGTTTTAATTGCCTTCCTTTGGTACCACATTTATTTACAAAATTCAGTGTAACTATGAATATAGAAGTCGTCCAAATTATACTATAAATTTCTGTATGAAGGATCATTTTTCAAGGAATGTCACAGCTCTCTTTGTAAATGTGCACATGGTCTTCTGTAAAATTTCATATGAATTAGAGCAGGGAACCACCAGTTTTGACAGACCTGTATGGACAGCCCAAGGCATCAAAACCATAACCTCAGAGTAGTTTCATTTTGAATAGTTTTGGGATCTGCGATTCATATGTTACGTCTGTATTCACATGTGTAAGGTGGTACGGTGAGGAGCAGTCACAGTCTGGAAAAAGTAAAGAGAAATTCGGGACATGACTGAAAGCTTAGATTACTCTCATGTACACTTATAGGATAAACACTTAAATACTCAAATAGCAAAAATCGATCAAGANGATTTGAGGCTTTCACGGCGGTGACTATGAAGAAAGCAGTCTTCTGGGATTTGGCACCGTGTATATGTGGTGTTAACCGACGTTTCGGAGGAACGTATCGCCTCTTCGCTTGCAGATTTCTTATATTTTTTCTTCTACCCTGAAGATGGAGGCGATACGTTCCTCCGAAACGTCGGTTAACACCACAGATACACGGTGCCAAATCCCAGAAGACTGCCTTCTTCATAGTCACCGCCGTGAAAGCCTCAAATCTTACAAGAAGTGATATATTTAAGTTCTGTAGATAAGAAGTAATGCATAGTAATTTCTCATGGTCTACAGAGGATGAGCATTCATTTTAGGAATACAGTGTCCTGGTATGTGATGCCATATAGTCCGCTAGATCATTACCAATGTTTTCGAGGGACCTCCTTTCTCAATCTTCCTGGTGGATGAAGACAGCAATCCATTTTATTTCCCACACTTGGCTTATTCTTCTGTCAAGATAGGGGCAGCAGGTTTCTCTCAAATAGAATCTGCCAAACAACACTGTGTCACATCTCAGGAGACAGTGATGTTCTTGTGAAATTTCTGAACAGACTTAATCTTTGAATGTTGTGTGTTGCATCTAACATCACAGTCTCAGGTTCAAATTACATTTTGACAGGGAGTATTCATGAATCATGAATGTTTTTAATTTTGCAGCTGGTTCCACTGCTGATCCCTATGTATCACTGTTATATACAGTCCTGTTGACCACATTCATGCAATTAGTAAGCTTTACAACTAAGTCTGGTAACACAGCGAAACTTCTTGGGATTTTAAATCATCTAGAAATGTGTATTTACTGACATGATCTTTTAAGTTACTTCTTTTATGTAAAGAATATTGTGGAATCCCCATTTAATGTTTCTCAGTGTAAGATTTTCTCCATTTGACATTCAATTTCAATGATCCCAAGTGACTGTCAGTGTTGTTTAAGAGTTCCCTCAGCTTAGTGTTGAAATCCACTGTCCCCCCCCCCCAGAGACCTTAAATAAGGCTTCCACGGTATATGGATCTTAAAATGAAAAGTGCACATGGCAACACTGTCCTTTTGGAAGTTTTCTTTCCTTCTAACCATGGAATTTCTCATACATGGTATAGCCTGTACATAATTCTGTTCATAAGAGAAACATACAACAGATTGTGTGCGCATGTGTCACTTACAAAGCTCGAAGTTTACCAGTTGAACAGAATGTATTTAAAATCAAATATGGCTGTACAATTGTGCTTTAAACCAAACGCATCACTGTCGCATGCTTCCATTTGTATTCTGCGGAACAAGATTGCACAAGCACGGTCACTGCCGCATTGCAGGATGTGAACTGCGCAAGTGAATATGAGTCCCTCTCTATGGTTAAACCGACCACCAGCTACAACAGGACATGGAAATGTGACTTTCAGAAACAACATTCATGCTTATTTCTCCTTGTCAAACTGATGAAAAATCAAAGCCAAGAAAATTTCTGCATGATAGAGAATATGGAGCCCTCGGGTGCTGTGCATTCCTAGTGATAACACTGTTAATAATTGGATTGTTTGAGTTGTACATATATAAATAATAAACGTTATTAGTGTGAATGATGCTATTTCCATGTTATGCAGGTTGATGGAAGAAAATCTCCAGCCTCTTCCAACTGCTTAGCTGAATCATTCTGGGTTGTTCCACAGGTCTCTTTCATATAAATTTTAATCCTACTGCCCTTCTTAGCTTCCTTTTTTTATCCATTCACTACATGGTCATTGGAGAGGGAACAAAACACTCTGCTGTGCAGCCCAAAAACTTTGACATTCGTCCATTACTCTGGTTCAACTGGGGCACAGTCACCAGAGAAGATGGAGGAGGTAGGTTCCTCTGAAACTGGTACCCTCTTACACAAATAGAAGCTGTCAAAACACAACTTGTGGTGCATTCTTGTGACATAAATGAGCATTAATGTGTTACTTATGCACAGAGGGCCCTCGATGTCTATGCAATACAGAACTGTCGTGCTCTGAACAGCAGTGTCTTCTGAATTACATAAGCTCAGAAATAGTGAACACTTGACAACCAGTGATGGCAACACAACACATCACTTCCTGGAGTAAGATTCTAACTGTCTTGCTTTAGTAAGTGTCGTAATCTGTCACACATTCTGTAACGCTGACAGACACTTCATCACTCCGTAAACAAGAAATCCTGCAACATCATTACTGACATGCTTTTGCCATCACATGGCCTCACTTCATTACTGACATCTTTCTTGTAGGTTATATGGCAAGACCTTCAGTACTGCAGACTATATAGCATGGAATGGGAGGATGATAAGATGAATAATGAACCAAAGGACTTGGAAGGAATCATTCATGGCCTCATTTGCATATTATCCTGGCACAAAAGAAATCTGTCAGGATATCCAGTGTCACAGACAAGATTTGAATCAAGCATCTTGCATATGAAAGTCAAAGGCATTACCATCAGACCCGTCTGTTTGGTGATTATCAACACGCTGTTCCATCACATGGCCTCACCAAACGAATCACAGCCATACAAAATATACTCCTCACGAGACAGCCAGAATGGACTGCCAAGAGTTCGGTTGGGTTGGTCTATAAAAAGTACAAAAGAAATAGTGAGATGTCGGTGCTCCTGAGTTGGTCTTGTATGTGTGCCTCATGTGTGTCTTGCTTACCTGAACATGGCATAGTCACGTACGTAGATCCCATGGCCACACTCCAGCTGCTGGAGCCTGGACACATCTGAACATTCAGCACAGTGCTGTACTCTGGTAGCAGTTCGCACAGGTCTCGTGCCACACGTGTCTTGAAGCCCATCAGGTCAGTGTTGCCACCTGCACACACATCCATGAAGACAGTTCACAGAGGGCCTCTGTCTACTGTATATACATATCTATAAATACATTTTATTTTCAACAAAAATTACTTTAAAGGACTTTCAACAGTTCTCAGGTACTGTAGTTTAAGTATCGGAACTGGGTCTTTTTGAGAAGCTAACAGTCGCTCAGCTGGTCAAGAAATTCTCTCTCTTTAATGGAAATGAAAGGTTCAATACCCACCTCAATCCTCTCCTGGGCAAGATGAATCCAGTGCACACCCTCACAAACTATTTTTGAAAGATCCATTTTAAATTTATCCTCTAGTCCAGGCATGTCCAACTTCAAACAGGTTGTGATCAACTTTTTTGAGTCAAAACTGCCAGTGATCTACCACCCCCTCCTATCATACCTCGCTTTAAGCAAAAATATTGGTAAAAATAACACGACACATGATGTTTGTTGTAAAAGCAACTAGTAACTGGGCTGTCTCTCTGATGTCTGTAGATTTATCCAGTTGGAGGGAGAAAGCAACACAATTGGAAACATCTTTCAACAACTGTTCAGTTATGTTTCTGCACATCATTTCTATTTGCCGCACAGTGGTGTTTCTTAATAATTAAAGATCTTGAATAGTAGCTATGATCTCTTTCTTATGTTATATTATAAGTGAATTTACATGCTTTTCACGTATAATTTCTTTATAGGCCTATGAGATCGACCAAAAATTGTCCCACGATCGACGTGTTGGACATGCCTGCTCTAGTCTATGCTTAGGTACCCCACTTCCAAAAAGCACCATGCCAAAAAGACGTGCTGGGGAGTGGAGGTATAGCACCACCATTCTTACCTCAGAACTTGATGGGGGCGAGTGGTCAGATTCACACCCCTACTGCTTTACCACNTCCCCCCCCCCCCCCCCACAGAAAGAGCCCCCAGTACCCACGGAGGCTGGATAGGCCCCAGAGCCAGTCTGGACACTGTGAAAAATCTCTTAATTTTGTATGTACTTCTCATGCATGCCACAGGCCCTACCACCTCATCCTTTACTCCATCACCGTAAAATATATAGATGCATTCTGCAATTTATGCAATAGTTGTGTTCTCCCCCCTCCCCCCAACCAAATTTCAGATGGTGAAATTGCATGAATCAAACAATTTTCTTCAATTTCCTTGCATTCTTCCTCTGAAAACCCACACAATAATTGCCTCCTGCTTCTCCCCATGCCTCTCAGTTGGTCATCAATTTACATCAAAGCAAGCGGTACTACTTGAGGTCAGTGTAAATTAGTTGAATGCATTAAATTAACCTGTGAGGTTCGACTGAACTACATGAACGTTGTGAGGATTTGAACTGAATGCCTCTTGTACACTTGTCAGATGTTAAACCTGTGAACACTGACACACACTCACTCACCTGTCAGCAGAATGTGACGCAGACACTCCTTCAGGATGTTCACAGGCAGCCCATCTGTCACATCCCGGATTGCCTGTGGAAGTCCAAGACTAGTGTACATCATCTCTGGGGCAAGATAGAGCTCTGGCCCTAGGGATACCCTCTGTAAGACACAGCAAGCCATGCTTCATCCTTAGAGAAGAACCACTCACAATCATGTATTTCTCATCATATCAGTCGTGACTACAGCAGAGTCATATACAGGGCCATTCACTTGGAAGCAGCCCTGAATTAATAATTATAACTTATGCAATAATTTACTTACTTACTCACTCATGGAGCTGAACCCTTCTTGAGGAGCTGCCAATTCTGCAGCTACTCAAGAATTTCCCAGCATTTTATGGAACCCAAAGGTTCATTACTGTGTTCACAAGAACTCTCCACTGGTCGGTATCCTGAACCAATCCAATCCATCCCATCCCTCTAAGATCCATTTTAACATTGTCCAATGCAATAATTTACTGCTGAAAATGAAACTTGGCAACACTGTCCATGACACTGGCTGCCCAGTTCACATCATCTCCTACCCTGGCTGCAACATTTGTGGACATGGACTGTCATGTTGGCCTGGGTATCCAGGTGCAGGGACACCAACATCTTCTGTCTCCCAATTATGCCCACATCTACCTGCTAAGTTTCGTTTTCACCAGCATATTATTGCATTGTTTAGAGATATTAATTCAGGGCCTTGTGTGTGAATTACTCTGTATAACAGTCACATTAATTTCCAATAAATATATTCAGTATAAACTAGAAGGATTAATTTAAGTCGCACAGACAATTACACCGACAATTAATTTAATCTGTGATGAGCTGGTTCTATATCTATTTAAAGCAGTAAAGTACAAGACTCTAAGTTTGAGAACTGTTACAGGCACAGCAGAGAGCTGAAATTAGCGACTCCCATCTCAGAAGATGTATGCATAAAGACAGTATCACCAGCCAACATCTCAACAATGTACCAACATTGGGTACATACCCAGAACTGCTTGTAGTCTGCATAGCTGTCCACACGCAAGTTTATGTGCTCCCGACGTGCAGGTCCTTTTCGACGCTCCTCACATGCAAAGTTGTAACTCAGACGACACTTCTCCTTCACAAGCAATGCGTCCAGGTATGACACGGGGATCTGGCAACACAGCGACCATGGTTAGGTCTATTTCAACTTGCCGCACTCTAACATGCACCATTACTATCTGCTCAAGGCCATGCCATAGGTCAGGTGGTTAGTCACCGGCTTCCCACCGTGATGGCCTGGGTTTGATCCCAGAACAGGTCATGTGAGATCTGTGGTGGAAAAAGTGGCACTAGGACAGGTTTTCTTCCAGTATTTCAGTTTCCCTTGGAAATTCCAATTCCACCAACTGCACCACACTCATCCATCATCTGGGGGTGGTACAACAGGCCAAACAGTGGCCAACATACCAAGTGGATTCAGTCTCATCCCACCACAAGAAAACACTACTGGCTGTTCATGACCTACCTCAGTGTACTCCTCAGGTTGCCACTGCATGGCCTGTTTCAAATACTCAGCAACATGCCATCCGCCAACTGGGATGTGTTTCCAGCGTTCTGGCACCACCTGGCCATTCAATACAACTGCTACAGATGTGCTGAAAGCACCACTGTCCACAACCACGCATGTGTCCATCCATGCCATGGCACATGTTGCAAGAGGCTTGGCAACCATACACACTCTGAAATGTAGGCACAACACAATCATGAGTCAGTTCCATTCACCATACTTAGCATCTACTGAGGGATTTAAACTTTGTTGACAAAGTCATGCCTCAGTGCTACACAGTGACTGCTGCATCACTTGATGACATTATGTTTCACAGCAAACAGTGCAGTTCGTGCGTGTAAGTTTGCTTATGATTTGTCAGCAGTAGATAGCAGTTATCAGCTCCATTAGCCATTTGTTCTCAGTAACAGTTAGTGAGTGGTCAGCATACTTCGGAGGAATGTGTACTTCTGTATAACACACCTATGTGAAATATAGATCTGTTAGAAAGTGCTGGTGAAAATTTTGTGATGAAAGAATTTGGTGAATAAACTTGGATCAATGGAGCAATGCACAAGGAGCAAAATCAGAAGTCCCATGTGCTTACTGAGGAAAAGTCAGATGACACAAGGGACAGACTTGAACATACACCTAGAAAGTCAAAGAAATGTCTAGCTCAAGAGACTGGAGTGTCAAAGTCTAGTGCAAGAACAGCAACACAACTGCTGAAGTTTCGACCCTATAAAACAACAGTAATGCATGTCTTGCAGCTGCATGATCCAGCTAGCAGGTATCATTTTTGCAGTTAGTTACTACAGCCTGTCATTGAAGATGAGATTGATCTGCAATTGACATTCTTTTCTGATGACACATGGTTTCACATGTAGGAATACATAAATATGCAAAATAGTCAATACTGGAGTTCACAGATCCACATCTAACCCATCAAATCCAGTGAAAGTTGCTACCTGATCTGCTGCGACTTATATAAGCCACAAAATTTATCTTAATTTTTCCACAAATTTGTTCCCCCACTTGCACAGTGATTATGCTAATGACTGGATGGCAGCAGAAACAAGGGTTGTGTCCCGGCAAGGGTAAGAGATTTTTCCATTTTCCATACCATCCAGACTGGTCCTGGGGCCCACCCAGACTCGTCTCCAGTGAGCACCAGGGGCTATTTCTCCAAGAGAAAGATGGCAAGGGCATGAACCTGACCACTCACTCCCAGTCAATGTCACGGTTAAGAATGGCTCCTCCATACATCTTCATGATGTGCACCTTAAATTTATTCCCTCCATCACATTGGTTATGGAGGCGCTGCATCTCCAGGAAATGTTTGCAATGATTTACCAGACTGCATGGTGTCACATCCCAGAAGACAGAAATCTGCAACTGAACCCAGCTCACACATTTACGCCATATTTATCAAAGAGTATCCTCCCATCAATAGTGAAGTGTTCGCTCTGACTTTCCTATCAATTGTTTATTTTGCACTTTTCATTTCTCCCGTGCCCTTATCCATACCGCACCCATCATATACTCAATTCAACCTGCCCAGAAAAACATGCAAACTGTACAAATTGTCAAGCTCCTCATTATGTAATTTTCTCCAGTCTTTTGATACTTCCTTTCTCAGTATTTTGCTGTCATGTACCTCATAAAAAAAAGTAAGTAAAGGTATCCCTGTAACAGGCCATGGAGGCCCATAGGGTTGTGAGGTGTTAAGGTTCCCACATTTTCTAGACAATCGGCTCATAGATGGCAGCATGGTTGTCAGTCCTATGTGCTGGCTGCCCTTTACCCCCAGGAATATTCCTGGTACTCATTTCTGTTAGAGCCTGAGTCGGCCCCAGGGCCACAGTGCGGCTGGAAGGATTAGATCAACTGAAAAAATCCAATGACCTCTTCAGGACTTGAACCCGTGACCTTCCAGCTTGTAGCATAGTGCCTCAACCAATTACGCTACCACGTGCTCCCTCATGTACCTCATGAGGTACAGAATTCATTTTCCACTCAAAGCACACACATTGGAGCCCACTTCTAGAGTTCTTCTGGGGACCTGTGGATGTGATCACTAAACAAGAAAATCTTAAATTGGTGATTGGTGACCCATAACAGTGAGATAACTGGCTTGGGATGGCTGAAGCTGAACACATGGGGGTTCCTCTGTACTTCGAACTCACCTAGAAACTTTTATCCTGAGGAACAGGTAGTGCAGCAAGCTCATGCGGACGGCGTTGCTCATGGCTAGAGGTTCACAGAACACCAGAACGGCATTTGGTTTCTGCAGCACTGGGAGCAGACCCATCTGATGGAAAAGGTGGCCCATAAATTCTTGTACAACAGGGAAGTGATCATCTCGCAGTAGGGCTGCAGCAGGACTCACAACATCCATGTTTGGGATCCCCAGAATGTTGACAGTCTCAGTACAGAAACCATTTATAAGGTCCGCATAACGGCTGGGGCCACAGGCTCCCCGATTCTGTTCAGAAACTCGCTTCTTCTCACGATACAGTTTCACTGGATTGCAGAACACACAGAATGGACCACTTGCTCGGCGATCAAGCTTCGAGGTGTGGGTTGTGGGGAGGGTAGACGATGCCATAACCTCAGCACTGTCAGTCCCCTCCTGTGAGCTGCTCCTGCAGGATACAGTGCTATCTTTATTGTTTATATCATGACACTGCAGAGACTGCTTAGGTTTTATAAAGTTGAATGACAGATGATTACATGATGATGTGAGTAAATGGAGGCAATCATAGCTTAATGTGTATGCACATTTACCAGGACGGACTGATGAAAACCATTCAAATGGCCCGCTGATGCATGAATGATCACTTTCACATTCCATCTGTTAAGAGATACAGATCTAATGTAATGTACAGCTCCTTTAGACTTGACTCCCAGGAACAGAAAATTCCAATTCTATGAGTTCTGCAAGGCTGGTGGTCGCATTTCATCTTTGGGGGTAACAACATTAATTATGAAAAAATGCAACATATGGCAGTAGTGATCAGAAATTTAGGTCATACCTAGGTGGACAGTTATCATGCTCTGGATTTTAAACAAAAATGAAAGCACTGGATTAGTTCCCGTCAAGCCATTCTGTCTATGATAACTGTAATATTACTACAGCAGCTGTTTCAGACCATTCAACTGAATCTCAGGCTCTACTGAAGGTGTGCACAGAATGCACTGCTGAGTTCTACCAACCTGTCATTTGGTGGCACCTTGGGGATGCCTAACATGGTGAAGTGTCGCCGGACACCAAAGCTTGGTGTCACAATCCAAGTGAATTTGTTCCCTATGTCTACAACAACCTTGGAGCCATGTTTCTCCACACAGTATGAATGACACGAAAATTCCATACAATGGTAGCAACGTCGAAACACTGTGTCAGACTGCAGGATGGTGTGCAGTCGCATGCACACCTCCTTGTGGTTCAGCCGTGCCCCATGCACATCTGGGAAGTTGAATTTGCATACAGACTCCAGCTGTGTCCATTTCAGCTTCCTGAAATCAGAAGGCTACAGTTCAGATTTGAAACTGACTGCTGACAAAACTCCAAGCCTGAAGAAGACACACCACCTGTCCCCATTCTGAGACACAATCAGTTCTCTATGATAGATTTAATGTTATCATGAAGAACACATAGTTGGTACTGATACACAACACAACACACAACTGGTGTGCATGTGTACCCTTCAACATTACCCTACAATTAAATAAAATAGAGTATTTAACTGCTGTCATATAAACTAACATAATGTAATCAACAAGACTACAGTGCACGTAATTGCATGGTATTCAACGCTTTAGTTTACAATGTCTGAGAAAAACTATCACAACATTTTGAATGAATTGAAATCATATTATTTTATATATCTTGAGAAGTATTATAATTCTTGAACACACATACTACAGTACAGACTCAACCATGAAGTTATTTGCAGAACAATTCAGAGTTATGATTGCTATCACCAAATTCACCAATATTATCTCAAAGGCCGTGCCATAGCTTAAGCGGTTAGTCACTGGCTTCCCACCGCTGCGGTCTAGTCAAGTGGGACTTGTGACGGACAAAGTGGCGCTGAGGCAGGTTTTCCCAGAGTACTTCGGTTTCCCTTGCCAATCCTCATTCAATCAAATTCTCCATAAGCATTATCACCTGTACAGGTACAATAGGACATATGGAAGCCGACGTGACCTAATATGGATTCCACCTCACACTATATGAAATCTTAAATACTGTAATCTACTGTAAACAATTTTAAGTACTGTAACTTTATTCTCTTATTGTAATCAGCCAATGTACAGTAACTGACTTGTCCTATATCATGTAACAATGATCTATAGAGAGGAAATAAATAAATAAATAAAGTAAAAGAGAGGTTAGTTTTTCACAACTCGAACTCCATTCCGGGTATAATACTTTAAATGAGGATGTAAGCAATGAAGTAATGCACCAAGTTGTATTACAAACTACTAATTCTCCTTTCTATTGTGGGGGGGGGGCCACCAACCCCATTTTCTTACCATAAATAATCCGAAGTGACGACTTTATTCAGATACTTGCAAGTGGAAGAGCATGACAGTATATCTTTCACGTCGCAATACGTCAGTATTTTTATCCATATTTCTTCCGGGAATATTGATGGATCCATTCGACACACTTAACAGTCATTTATCATAATTACTCTGGCAGTTTAGCAACGTACTGAACCGTGTTAGAAACAATCAATGAATTTACTCTCTTTGCATTTCTAGTAAGGAACGAAACCGTACTGCACACAAACGCCCTATCCAATCATACCTCTATTCTGGTCAAGAGCCAATGGGACGGGCACACCACCACATTGCTACCAACTGTATAACTTTGAAGTACTTATATTTTTTCTCACATATGAAAATATCACTTGTATTATGCATAAATGTAGTCAAAACTTTTACACACAGTTCCAAATTACAACTCACGCAAACTACCATCAGATAGAAAGTAAACCTGTCCCTGTGCTTAAGTAATTAAGCACTTCGCGATGAACAATATAAAAGAGTTAATCCGTAATATTAAGCAATTTAGAGCAGCTTTAAGTGCTTTTTTACATACAAAATCCTATTACACTTTAGATATTTTAATTGCTGATTTAGCACGCTTATGGTGTGACAGGTTCTGTATCCAATGGCTTCGGCCTTGTATGGATGTACTTGAACGTGTAATAAATACAATACAATTCAATACAAAGATGTGTGTCAAATGTGAAAAAGCTCTATCACTCTTGATCGTATGGACAATGTGTAGTATGGTGAAAAGTTTTGCCTCTCTGACACCAATCCGTTGTTAAACTGGCTGAACTATCCCAAAATATCCTAATCTTGAATATAATGTAATGTTTTTAATATTTTATTTGACAATTCATAATAAACCAAAAGCATTTAAATTTGTCATTCAGAATCTTATATTACAACCATTTATGCTAGTGGAAATGTTAATCCATCATGACTTAGTCAATTATTTAATATAACATAAGTTATAGTTATCTCTGGGATTCATAAATTGCCCACCACTCTGTGAAGACAATGTAGGGGAGTGGAGGTATAGCTCTGTGATTCTTCTTGACACTATATAGAGATGAGAGACAGCTTCCTTCCCCTTCCACTCTTATCCTCGATTAGAAGGATGGGTGGACCATAGGATATAAGGCATTATGGAGAGAAAAATCTTTTGCCATCTTTCTCCTGTCATCCAGCCTCTACCCTAGTTGCTATATTGAATGAGCTACCCCATCTCTGCACATCAAATGTAATACAGTAATTTAACACTGATATATTGGGTTTCTGGACTTTATCCATCGTCCTGGTTTTTAAGATGATAAATAAAAACACGACGTTTCGGAAACTGGATCTGTTTCCGTCCTCAGGTGAAGGAAAAGGGAAACACCTATTCTGTTGGGTCCATTAGAAAAAGCTAGCCTCAATCAATTCGTCCAGTGATTGAGGCTAGCTTTTTCTAATGGACCCAACAGAATAGGTGTTTCCCTTTTCCTTCACCTGAGGACGGAAACAGATCCAGTTTCCAAAACGTTGTTTTTATTTATCATCTTAAAAACCAGGACGATGGATAAAGTCCAGAAACCCAATATATCAGTGTGTTATACACCATCGTCAGAATCCTATAGTAATTTAAATTAAAATTTGCATTCTGAAAATAAAATTGTATAATGTACTGTATTCTTTCATATAGTTTATGCTACTTTTCAATCAAATATCACGTGTAAAGCTTGTGGTGCATAAAATATGCTAATGCTACTTATCAGAGCATGATTTTGTAGGTTAAATTGGAGTGAAGTTAACATGATGTGAAAAATACAATATGGATATTTGCAGCTTCCAATTCCAGCACACGATTTCTTGATAAATTTCACCAAGGGCAAAAATATTTTAGTTCTTTTAAACACAGCAGTTGCTTAAATATCATGATAGTAACTGAATCAACAGCTCTTAACATCTGCTGTACTGATATCTAACTCACTTACTTGATATTGAAATTAATCACAGCTCCAGTCTTGCAATCCTGAAACAAAATGAATTTACCCATTCACATGTAGAATTGTGAAATGTGGTCTCCTGCTGTGGAAATAAATAACTGCCCATTTATTTAAAATAAAGTTATGAATATAGTGTCTGTAAATCAGAGGGATGAATGAAAGATACTATATGAAACTACTACTGCTGTTAAGATAGTCAGATGGGCTGGATATGTAGTTGGGAGGAGGGAAGAGAATTAGCACTCAATCTGGGAGACATAGCTCTTAGAACTAATTAACTTCACAGAGCACATGGAACAGTCTTTCTTGAGAAGTGAATGGGTAACCAGAGATTCCGTGAATTCCTTCCCTTCTATGTAACCACAAAAGTTTATTACCACTTTCATAATAGCCACTCTTTGATCCCTATCTTGAGCCAGACAGATTTAATTCACATTTTTTCAAGAACCATTTTTATATTATCCTTCCATTTATGCATAGATCTTTGAAGACAGGTCTTCCCTTTGGCGTTTCTTAGTAAAGTTTCGTGTGTATTTCTGATCTCTAAAAGTGTTACATACCCTACTCATCTCATTCTCCTCAATTTGATATCTTCAGATATAAATGACTATGAATGTGACAATATTAAAATTCAACTTGGTAAAATGGGTTATGAGGAAATAAACCATATTCAGCTGGCTTGGAATAGGAATTAATGGAAAAATGTGAAAGTGATGGGAGAAGCAATTCTTGAGATGTTAAAAGTTTGGCACTTAAGACACATTCCCTGTGTGCATTTACAGGTTGTTTTTCACTGACACATTTTTATGTATTCTAAATTGGTGAAATAAAAAACTGCGTCAAATGTATGTCAACAGCTGATAGAGCTATTGGATCTTTGAAGCGTGTGATGTTACGTGAACTGGCACCGCTCTATGTACACTGTGGTCTACCCCTTACCATTTTACACACATTTATAAAATTCACAGATAATGACAAGTATCTTCATATATTTCATCTTAAAGATTTGTTGTGCAGCATTCTTCAGAGATGGCGGTAAGATACCATGGCATTCCTCTGGGCTGAGCTTTAAATATTTGTTGTTTTATGATTTTTACTGGCCTATACAAAGCCTGATTTATTGAGGTTTCTTAACAGAGTATTTATCACTGATTCTACTAAACATTTACCGAGTGTTGGGCCACTTTACACTCTGATTCAGGTCTGATTTTAAGTACTGTTGTACAGGATTTTATAAAAGGGGATCCACCCTGAATATTATCCAGGCACATGCTGATGTGCCTCTAAAGACATTCACTACCCACTACACTCTGAAACATCTATCTTTAATTAATTTTATATTGTGTTAACAAAAGGTTCTGTAGCCTGACTTCTATACCAGCTATGAATTCTGAAACCTCTAAACTAAGCCACCCATCTGTGCACGTGCACACGCTCTCTCTCTTTGAAGACTGCACTACCATCTGCAAATATTCTGTTGCAGTAGGTTGTTACCCGTTGAAAGAAGAACAAATATTCTGTAAGATTCTATGTTTCCACAGCAATGAAAATTCATATTCCTATCTTCTGATTTCCACCATCAAGTCTGGTTGATGGGAATCAAATTTTTGGAGGAACATACTCCTGCCATATTTAGGGTTGTAATTAAGACAATACCACCATCTGTTAACACTGGAAAGCACATTCACTCCAATGACAGATTCTGCCATTTGCAATGGAAATGTTATTAGTTATCCCAGCCCCAGCCCTCCTGGTCCCAAATGACATACAACCAAAAGTAACTGACAACACAGAAGATACATACAATATTATATTTTAGCGTCCTGTTGCACTGATTTAAGTCCATGATTTATTTAATCCGTCTTGCAGTGCATACACTCATTTATCTCCAGTGTTAAGAGGTTGGCCGCCCTGTCAGTGTGACCTAAATACCTGATGTGCACCATCAAGTCATGTTAAGAGGTTGGCCGCCCTGTCAGTGTGACCTAAATACCCGGTGTGCACCATCAAGTCATGTTAAGAGGTTGGCCGCCCTGTCAGTGTGACCTAAATACCCGGTGTGCACCATCAAGTCATGTTAAGAGGTTGGCCGCCCTGTCAGTGTGACCTAAATACCCGGTGTGCACCATCAAGTCATGTTAAGAGGTTGGCCGCCCTGTCAGTATGACCTAAATTCCCGGTGTGCACCATCAAGTCATGTTAAGAGGTTGGCCGCCCTGTCAGTGTGACCTAAATACCCGGTGTGCACCATCAAGTCATGTTGAGAGGTTGGCCGCCCTGT